ATTACTCACTTTCACTGTAAATTGTACTGAGATGTTCTTCAGATTGTATTTTGGCACAATGATTGATTTTGTCATCTACAGCTTTATTCTAATTTTGATATAAGTAGTTTGTGATCTGGGCCGCAGTCGGCACCTGGTCTCATTTTGACTGCAAGAATAGAGCTTCTCCATCTCCTGCTTCCAGTTATGTAGTCTATCTGATTTTTGTGTTGACCATTTGGTGATGTCCATGTATACAGTCTCCACTCTGGATGTATGAAAAAAAAATCTGCAAGCAATAGATTGTTGGCCTCACAAAATTCCCCTGCTTTATTTCTTGATCCTAGTCTGAATCTTCCTACAGTTTTTGGTTCTTCTCTGTTTCCTACTTAGCATTCCCGTGGCCTATGATTAGCTTGAAATCCTGTGCTGGTATGTTGTCAATTTCCTCCTGGACTCCTTCATAGAATCTGTCAATTCCTTTTTCCTCTGCCTCTCTGGCTGGTGCATATACTTGGATTATGGTGGATGTTTATTGGTTTTCCCTGAAATCTTATTGACATGATTCGATCTGACTTTTTTTTTTCTTACCTGCTACTAAAATGTCTTGAATAAAACAGGCTGATTGATCTGTTCTAAAGCATCTTTTTAAAACACTCCATCAGGTCATGTTAATCAATTAATTGGCCCTTGGCACACTTTGTTAGGAGTAAGTCTTGAACACAGCAAGGCTTGTGTGTGTGTGAATGTGTGTGTGCACATGTGGTGTGTGTATGCCTTAAAGTTGTCAATTGATTTATGAGGACTTCATGAATTTTATAAGGTTTTCTTAAACAAGGAAGAATCAGAAGTGGTTTTGTTAGTTCCTTCCTCTGAAATATACTCCACAGCACCTAGTATTCATTGGCAGTCTCCCACCCAAGTATTAACCAGAGCTGACCCTGCTTAGATTCCAAGATCAGAGAGGATGTGGTGCCTCTTCTAGAGTATTTAAGCCCTACATAATGGGGCTTACTTCAGAATAAATGTTCCCTTGCTTGTACTTTAAGACCAACTATTGTCCCTCTCCTGCATGTGCCCTGGCTTCCAGGCACATTTGCTGGTGGCAAAGCATGTGAGGAATTTTTTCAGTGGTGGCACTCCATAAGTGGATCTCCCTGCCCCAAGTGATCTGATCATCCTCTTTATCCTCTTTTTTAAGCTAAGTTTTGTGGTTGTGGCGGGACTGGGGAGTGTAGAATCATAGAATCATAGAGTTGGAAGAGACCACAAGGGCCATCCAGTCCAACCCCGTGCCATGCAGGAACTCCCAATCAATGCATCCCCGACAGATGGCCATCTAGCCTCTGCTTAAAGACCCCCAAGGAAGAAGACTCCTTGGAGTGTGTTCCACTGTTGAACAACCCTTACTGTCAGGAAGTTCCTCCTGTAGTATATACGTTCCTTGAATAAATTATAAACATGCATTTTTGGGGGGTGTAGGGATAGAGTCCTAACCACACTTAATAGAGACACAACAGAATTACAACAGAGTGGGATTACAAGAAAACCCATGTCGGATTGCACTGCAAATATTGATGCTGTGAGCCACCACTGCTAGGAGTGGACAGAGGTAGTTTTGAGAACCTGCCTTGTCTCTTAAAGGGTGGACAAGTATTCCTCTCTGTTCTTTTGATACATTCTTCAAGAGCTATCGATATGTAGTCCACATTTCTGTGTCTTCCCCTCCACCTCCAATCTCAAAACAGGGTGCCCTTTTCTGCACGCATGTCCCATTGCTCATCAGCAACCTCACCCCTCTCCCCTAGTTGTCACTGTAATCTAGCAAAATTTAGAGACATATGTTTCTGCCTCACCCATGGAGGTAAGGCCCCATTCCCTCAATAGACCCGTTGTTTCTAGGCCTCTTGCCTTGGCCCTGCAAGCCCCTGGAATCACCTCAGCTTGCAGTAACCAGCCATCTACTTTGTTTGGCTTGAGACGGGGCCAAGAGGCCTGGACAAGGCAAGAACTGTTGAGCGATCTGGAGTTCAGAGACGAGAGAAGGAGACAAGTCTCCTGAATCTTGGAGACTGAAGCTTACCTTTTCTTCCCTCCTCTAGGACCAGAGAGGCAGGAGGAGTGTGAGCAATAGGGCAGCAGACTCTTCAGTCCAAAACATACTGCAGAAATAATCCAGTTTGAGACCGCTTTAATTGCCCTGGCTCAGCGCTAGGGAATCACCAAAGCTCTCTGACAGAGAAGGTTAAATGTCTCACAAAAGTACAGTTCCCAGAATTTCCTAGAATTGACCCAGGGCAGTTAAAGAGGACTCAAACTGGGTTATTTCTGCAGTGTGTTTTGGACCAAACCTTGCCAAGAAAAACCCATAATAGTCCCACCTTAGGGTCGCTCTAAGTCTGAAACTACCACAATAAGTAGAATAAAACAGGCATTTAGCCAAGCATAGAGCCAGGGCAGTTAAAGCAGTCTCAAACTGGATTGCAGTGTGTTTTGGCCTTTTGTGTAAAACTCACTAGCATTTGAGATACTCTCATTATGAAAGTCACGTACTCTCTTCCATCACAATTTGGCAGGGGCAGTCCCATTTAATTCTCTGTCATCCCACTTTTTCAGCTATCCCAGTTTCTCTCTCCCCCTTCCCCCTTTGCACATGAAATTGTACTTCAATTGCTGGAAATTGATTTCAAAATGCAAAAATAGTTTGCACTCAGTTATCTTAGCGGAAGGGAAAGGAGAAGACGTGATGGAGTTTTGTCCTTTCCAGTAGGCTCAGGCAGAAGCAAACTGCTACAGCCTGCCCTAGCTTGTCTGTTCTTCCTCACCTGTAACTTTCCACCATCTTGACTGCACTCTAATCTTGCTTGGCCATGTGTTCTTGTCTTCCTCTGTGAAATGTTGAAGGGTATTGTGTAGTGACTGGTGTGTTGGACTAGGACTGGCCCAAGACATTTTGTTGCCTGTGGCAGAGTAGTAAATGGTGTCCCTTCCCAAAAAGTTAAGGTACATCATGTCCAAGTCCAACCAAGTTATCTTGGAACCTAAGGCAGATAATCCCACCACAAGCGCTCTTCCCTGGCACTAAAAAAGACAGTTACAATAGCTAACAATTCAGTGCCATTTCATAACATCAAATACCCTGTGGCAACCTGAGGTGGTCTCTTCACTCAGGTAGGGTCAGTTCTGAGGATAAGGAACCAGTTTGAAATAATCCCACATTTAGCTATGAAAGCTTTGGGTGATCCTGAACTAGTTGCAACCTGAGTTTAAACTACTTCACAGGGTTGTTGTGAGGGTACAATTGTGTGTGTAGGGAGAACCATGTATGTCAAAAGAAGGTGGGATACAAGGGTCTTTAAGTGTTAGTTCTATTTCAAGCGATGTGGAAAAGAATTGTGCTGGACAGGTGATCCAATGTAATGTTGGGGCTAGGATTGCCAGACTGAAAACTGAAGAAGGCTCCTGTATCCTTAATGGTTGCCTAGAAAAGAGAATTTCAGCAAGTGTTGTTTCTCACGTAACCAAGTAACAAGTAACACTTGCTAGAATTCCCTCTTCTATTGTTGTTTATTTATTTATTTGGAGTATTTATACCCCGCTTTTCAGCTACAAAGGTTCTCAGAGCAGCTTACAAATAGTTAATTAGACATTTTCCTGTCCTCAGGCTTACAATCTAAAAAGACAAGACACAAAAGGAGAAGGGAATGGCATTGGGGAAGGGGATCAGGTCCAGCAGTTCT